TAACCAAGTGGTCCTTGCTATATCAAAGTGCATAACATTTTGGACTAAACATTAAAAAACCAATCCTGCATCATGTAGGAAAAAAAGTATTAAATTGGATTTTGAGATAAAATCCAAGGATTGGTGACTTCTAGCATTAATCAGGAAATCTGAACTAGAAAAGTAGACTCCTGAATCCATATTCATTAGGGCTACATTTACTTAGGAATTTTTAAATTGTAAAATACAGTTTTTAAAAACAAAAGTTGTAAAAATTTTCTTTTTTTGTTTGTGAAAAAATATGCAGACAAGTGAAAATACCATCCTTTGTGCTGGAAACAAAAGCTAACAACTATCCTTGAAAAGATGAGCATAGAATGTCAACTTGTTTTGCGCATACATGCACACGTGCTTGCGCTTTCTCTTTTCCTCTCAAAACTGCAAGATTAACCCCAACATACAGTAATTTAGATTTGTATTTTTTTCTCAGGGAATTAGAGACTATTGTATATAATATTCCAGTTTGCTAACGGGTGAAGTTGGCTTTTTTTTGAGAAGAAAATGAAATATATTGAGTCTCTAATCCAATTAGACAAGTTTTAACTGATTTTTAATTAATTCTGGCAGCCTTGTATGTGACACTGCCTCAATTTCACTAGTAAGATAAAACAAGTTCATGATTTTGGTTTTAAGCATAGTTGGTCCTGTTCTCTATTACCGTCTAGAAGATCTCATTTTAAAGATCATATTTCACTTGAGACCAATTCATAAGCTCTATATATGCTAGAATCCTTTAAGGATTGTGAGAGTCCGTCATGCAGGTACTGAGGGTGGCTGACAAAACGCGTGCGTTTCTCTCAGGGGTTTAACAACGCTAACTTCTTTGGGTCAACTTCATTCCATGCAGAAAGTTTTAGCAAAGTATGACTTTGAAAAAGATTCACATAGCTTAATAGGAGGTCTCTAACAGTCTTCATAATGTTTCATACCAAATGGAGAAAAGTTCTCTCAATGTTCTGCTTTGGCATAAGACCACCATCTCAATTCCTCTGCAAAGCTTTCCATGCTGTCTTTCCCGTTGGCCAGGCCTTCACCTTCATCTGGATGTCTGGAACACTTACTAGGTTGATGGCCTAGTCTGGAGCTGTGGAAATGTACAGAAAATTAACTTCTCTATTTGTTTATATTATTTGCAAAATTTTATTAAACCTTAGAGAATGAGGAACCAAGCATGTTGCACCGCCAGTTACATATTCCAGTTTATAGTTGCTGTCATTCCTCACTGCAAATGAGGATCCAACATGTCCTTTACAGTTATTTGCTCTTTTATAGTCCATGATGTGTTGATTTTCTTGCTTCTGATCTGAGATTCTCACAAGTATAGAAGCATGACGCAGTAATGAAACAAGACTTTTGTTTCAAAAGAATAAGCAACTATGAGCAACAATTGCTTTTAGTTTCTTAAAATACTGTTCATTACATAGCTTGACACGTTTCACACACGCATGTTGGCTTTTTTTTTTAATCATTTTCTGTAAAATAGTTCAAAATACATTCAAATAACTAAGTCTTTACCTCACTGTAACAGATTTGTTAAGGCTTATACAGCAATCCAGTATCAGTCAGATCATAGAATCATAGAATGGTTTGGGTCATCTAATTGAACCCCCCTGCCGTAGGCAGGGACATCTTCAACTAGATCAGGTTGCTCAAAGCCCCATCCAACCTGACCTTGAATATCATCCGGTTGGACTCGATGATCTTAGAGGTCTTTTCCAACCTTAATGATTCTATGATTCTATGATTTTCAGGGATGGGGCATCTACAACCTCTGGGCAACCTTTCCAGTGGTTTACCACCCTCATTTTAAAAATTTCTTCCTTATATCTAGTCTGAATCCACCTTCTTTTAGTTTAAAACCATTCCCCCTTGTCCTATCGCAACATGCCCTACTAAAAAGTCTGTCCCCATCTTTCTTGTAAGCTCCCTCTAAGTACTGAAAGGCCGCAATAAGGTCTCCCTGGAACCTTCTCTTCCCCAGGCTGAACACCACCAACTCTCTGAGCCTGTCCTCATAGGAGAGGTATTCCATTCCTCTGATCATTTTTATGGCCCTCCTCTGGACCCACTTCAACAGGTCCATGTCTGTCTTGTACTGAGGTGACAGAACAGTTTATTGATTCCCATCGTTTTACCTCATCTTTTCTTTCATATCGGTCTGAATCATCTCATCACGATGGTTATGATTTAACAACTGCATCAGAATTGATTCTGGTTTCAATTTGGTGTGCAGCAGCTGGCCTTCGGGTGCAAGCCAGATAAGGTTGTAGCTTCACAGCATCCTACTTTGCCAGGTGGGAATCTCTTGCTCCCTGCCCACAATCCAGGACAGAATACAGAGAGGGTGGGAAATCTGAATGTCGTGACTGCACAGTGCCATTTATTTTTACTGTTGCCAGATGTTTCAATTGTAGTTGGTTCTAGTTGTTCAGTTTCTAAGGAGATGGAGTTGTGTAAAGTTGTTAAGCACTACCCTTAAGCGTTTACATGTTTTTATTAAACATGGATCAGCTCAATACTGCACGTGGGCGTACAATTATCTTTGACTAAGGCAGTACCTCACTCTTTGTGATCCTGTCTTACAAATAGGCCAAACTGAGTTTTGTTAAATATCCAATAGAGCAGAATTATTAGGCAGTTTGCCAGAGATTTCATCATGTTTACTGCTTTGGAGATCACAGCACATTGGAAGACAATTCATTCCTTTATGTACAAGAATGAATACAGCTCTCAGCAACGTCTGCAATGCTGTGCTGGCAGGAAACGTTTAATGAATTGACAGCTCAAGTTGGAAGCATGGTAAAATATGGCCAACAGAAAACTGGAGAGAATGGAGACGACTAATTTACTGGATGCTTCCTTTCACTGGGAATGTCACAAGCTTTCTTCAGTTACAACTTTTCATTGCTTATATTCTGTACCTAAAAACTTTTTCCCTGTTGTGCTTATAAGAGGCCGAAAGCTATATTCAGTTTTTATACACTGGCATTGCTCTGTTGGTCAGTTGCTAACATGATGCTGTATTTGTGTTCCAAGCATGTGTTGTAATGAGAAGTTCAGTGATAAAAGCTCCCTATGTTTACACTGTAGAATCACTTGGAAATTCTGCAGATTTGATTGCACCAATGTTACAGGCAATGTCACATTTTTAAAACTTCTAATTTGTAATCTATCTTAGTTCAAGGAGCACTCCGCTGCTTTTCTTGTCCAGTCATTCTGCTGTTAATGCTTTCCTTCATCCGTCCTCTGGCTTGATGACAAGGTTTTTATTTTAAGGGTTTTTATTTATTCTCCTCGCTACTTAACAACTGTCATATATTGTTGACATCTCTGCCATCTTTTTTGTCAGCTTTTCCCATGAGCGTCTTCATGCTGTGTTCGATATCGCTATCAGTGGAAAGGCCCTCTTGAATAATCCAGAAAGGAATCAAATACACTTCACATCTGCAATGAGGCACATAATAATCTTTCTAGACATTCCCTGAAAGGAATGGCTTCAAAATACAGCCTGAAAACCACCACTTCCTCTGTACCCCATTTAGGATGTCACGTTCCTGTCATTACTTGTCCCTGCTCTCACTCCTCATGCTCTTAGTGGATCTACCTTGTAAAATGATAATAAAAGCTATGAGAAGGACCATCTTCTTTATGTATAACATCTGTCAAAGAGGACTCAACTTTGGTCTCTGTGTAAAAAATTTTATTTAGTGGAGGAAAGAATAGTTCATGCAAATTCACTAAATGTAAACGTGATTTTGTTTTACTTTCCTGATTGTTGACTGTTACTGACCTACCCTAAACAATTTGAAAAGCTGGTGAAATACCATTTAATTATTAAGATGATGGATTAGTTTAAGTTTACTGTTTAGTCATACATTATGCATATTTTGAAAATATTTCTCATTGTCATCAATAATTGTGCTTAAGGTTTGGCATTATCAAAGAACTGTTGAATAGTCTTTTTGTCAGTATTTTTGCTGTGAGGATCAGTTGTCGTTCACTGCTAGCTGTCTACTAAAATTCAGAAGTAATTCCTGAGTATATAATAAATAAGAATTCTTGCTGTTGCATTAATAGCATTGAGTAAAATAGATATATCGTACAGAAATAAATTGTTAATGGAGTACATTTGCATGTGCACCTTGTTGCTCAGACAATGTGCTGTATTGTAAGTCTAAGCCTCTAAATGGATTTTCACTGGCTTATTAACCTTTCCCAGAAAGGACTTGATAAAGACCTATATTTTACATACTAACTCAGATACAAAGTATTTGAATTCAGATATTAGTTATACTGATAATTTAGATAATGTTTGTAAAAAGAGGAAGGCTATAAATGGTTATAGTTGTCTGGTTTAAGTTTCATAGCAGCACCTTAATCTCTGTGGTATTGGGGGTTGGCTGACCCTATCTTTTTTTTCCCCATCAGCCAATAAATCTGGGACATGACCATATCTCCAGGTGAATTCTAATTCAGTGGATTTGGTTAAAAAGAAGAGCATAAAAGAAACATTAAGATGCTCTGTGCTCAGAATTTCATCGTTGAAAGCTAATATACACTTTGAATCTATTTAAAGACTGTATCACACTAGAATCCTGTATTCTTCAACATGTTCTTTCAGGGACAGGAGTTAGGTTCACGGGTTTCTGAAGCAGCTAAATTTCTTCTTAACAAATGTGTTCTCCTCTTAGAGAGATATAATGCTTAGAACCTTAGTAGTATTACTTATAAATCCAGATAAAGAAATATTTGTAGTAAGCAAATGGGGCATTAGAGTTATGATATCAAAAACACATGAAAAAGAGGACATCTGAATTCCTGTTTCTCATTGCTGCTTGATTGGCTGTATTCCATTATACATTCCATATTGTTTGAATTTTCACATAAAGTAATTTCGTGTTTTTAATTTCAGTTATACTGTAACTTAAGCTTGAAAGTAACTTCTGTATTTTATTTTCCAGTACCACCTTCAAGTAAATTCCGCTCACCTGCAGCACCGTCTCCCTTAGCTCTCCGACAACCAGTGAAAGCATTTAGTAACCATGGACCCGGTTCAGTTGCTTCTCCAGAAGCCACACAGCTGACACACAGTAGTTCTTCACCAGGGCCTCTTGCAGCCCAGAGTTCAGGCTTGCCAAGCCCTGCCAGCAGTATTAACAGTACTACTCTTACCAGACCAGCAGGGACAGCAGGGATGAGGAGTGGTTTGCCCAGACCCAGTGCCCCTTCTACAGGGGGCATCCCAGTGCCTCGTAGCAAACTTGCACAGCCTGTTCGCAGGTGAGTATGTGACAGGCAGTCTTAGTTTGAAGTTTTCATAATGAATTTTGTACATTGTGTATTTGTGCTGCAATTCTTATTTTGGTCTCAAGGTATTTAGAATGGAAATGGAGACCTCTACGTGAAGTATTTGACTGTTTTTCCAAAATAGATTTAAAGCAAAACCAAAAGAAAAAGGTTTTTGAATTAGAGAGTGAAGGTGAAGGAGTGAAAGTCAAATGAATAACGAAAGATACTGAACTAACTAAATAAAGTGTCTTAGCCTGGGCTGAGAAGGCAAAAAGAATTTGTCTGCATGTGGTAAAAAGTCATCAAAATATAGCTGGCAAGTGAAAATTCATTTTTACCACTGAGTGACACATTCTGAAGTCAGAACTATTGCAGTTCCTTTTGTAATCCGTATGTCAAGCAGTGGTACCACGGTGAGAAGAGTTTCTCTCCTTGGGCAGCTAGAAACTTTAGGAAGGAAGACACGTGAGGACATAGGAGGCGTCCATAGTATTTGCTAAATTTAATGTAAAAATAAATGCAGTTAATCCACAGGACAAAACAGAATTTTCAGCTCAAACATAACCTCTGTGGTAGCACCCAGCTGTAGAAGTTGCTTAATGTCAGAGTGCTTTGGAAAACCACCAAAAGAGAGACTAAATATTAACTGGAAAGGCTACATGGACAGTTAGTCCTCAGGAGAATCAGAAGGAAGTGATGCATAACTTAGAATATATGCTCTTAATGCCACGCTAATGTGGATTTTCACTGAAGGTGTCAAGTGGAAGCCAGCTGACGTAAAGAAGCAGTCATCCATGAGGAATATTAAGAATCCCGTTAAACAGAAAGGATAAACAGTTGGTCTTCAGTACCACAGAAAAGATGAAACAGCAGTAAATAGCAAAGTGGAGGAGTTCTGTTTTGCAATGAGTGCTGGGCAGGGGAATGACAAGTGACTGTCACATTATTGACTGTTTTGCACTCCAAGGCTGCACTGTCAGCAGTATGAAACTTCGTGTAATAAAAAGCAGTTGTTTTTGACAAGGAAGTTCTTAACAGTAGTGAAGTGTGGTTGTCCAACCCACAACTTATCTTATAGAAAAGTGTTTCACTTATTGAACTTACACAGCTATTTTTTTGGAAAGTTTATGTAATAATGCAGTATCTGTACACAATGCAATAATGAAGTATCTGTGAACGTCAAGATTTTGATGTAAGTAAAATGTAATACTCTGAACAAGGATTTCCCTGTTTATACATCACTGAAAAAAAAATGGCCTGTTTTTAGATGGCAGCAGATTAAGTTTGTATTCTCACAGAGTATAATAGCAAAAAGTTTTCTGTCTATTTCTGCAGATGTTTTTCTGACGTTGTAGTTGCCAAGATACAACACATAGAACCTGAAACTGAAAATACTTTGGGGTTTATCTTAAGTAAACTATATTGCAGAGAAGTAAATGACTGAAGTGTATATTTCAATTACTTATAAAATGTTTAAATTCTAATGTATTGTAGATGGAGACTTCAGCAGTTATGTATGAAACTGAAAAATATCTCATTTTATTTTAGATCATTACCCACTCCCAAAACCTATGGCAACGTGAAAGATGAGAGTTGGAAAGACGGCTGCTACTGAACTGCAAAGCTTAATGCAAAGTTCCAGTGCTCGTGGATGCTTCCTCACCAGGCTAAAAGACAGCTTGATTATACAAACTATTCAGATGTGACTTTTGGGATTTGTAAAAATTCCAGACCTCTCTGTCTCTAATTAGCACAAACTGGCAGAGATTATAAAGCAGCACTTTAATGACATCTAACATCAGATGTTTGGTGATCATACAATCACTTCTACATTAAATTGCTATCAGTTCTGGGTTTTTTTCTTGCTTGCTAAAAATGTGTCAATATGAGCATTTATGACAGTGGCCAATGTCTGGGCAAAAACCTAATGAATGCCAAAGAAATGCCCATCTTGAAAAACAGCAAGTATAACAGTCAACTTACACTGTCCAAAACTTCATTTTCAGCCTGTTTTAATTCAGCAGAAAGATTGGTGAGTATGTACTGTTGAAACAAGACTACGTTAATCAGAGCTAATATTCTGATTGCAGACTGCTACAGTGCTAGTGAAACATTGCTTTTAACAATTGTGTGAGATTCTCATTGGGGAAAGTGGTACATACATCCTTCAGAAAGAATCAGAAGTTACTCTGGAGGATTAGGCAGAACAGTAAGTAGTAGCCATGGCTTTTATTAACATTAAAGATTTGAATGTAGCAGACACACACAAATGCAATAGTATAGATTGCATCTTTCCTATGTTGATTTATCAGCTTTACATGCTCTTATATGTTTGATTGCCAAAAGGGCTTAGTATCAGTTGTACAATCTTTCTAACCTTAAAGTTCCTGGCTCAGGAAAGATGGCCTTTGCTATTGTAGCCACATTTTTATCACATGGCTCGCTATTTGGGAAAAACTTTTTTTATAGCAGGTTTCCTTAAAAAGGAAAGAGCAAGTCGTAATGTTAATTTGTTCTAATACCATACCACTATGCTTGCAGCCTGGAGCAACTGTAAATGCTGATATTTAAGAAGAAGGAAACACAACTATGCACTTGTAACATACAAATTCTAAGGTAATGAGTTGACTCTTGATGCCAAATGATATTCATTTAGGTGATGTTCCATGGTATGAGGGAGTTTTCTGTATCCTATTTTTTTACTTTCATCCATTTCTTAAATTGGTTTATTTTAAATTGTAAATATTTTTACAGAAGATATTGCCCATGTAAGTGTGTTTAAATATGTACTTTGCCTTACATATATGTATCTTACATTACTGGTAACAGAGTATGAAACCTGCTATGTCTGTTTACAAGCTATTAAATTCCTCTGGTGGCTCTGACTTATTCTAACACATTTTGCTCAGAACAAGTCATTCATATAATTAGCATTTAAACCATTGTTTTCTGATTTGGAAGACATCATGCAAACATTTGTAACTAAAGTTGTATTGGGTGGGACTAGTTAAGTAACTAGGATTAAGTAATTAGGGATTTTGTTTGAAGCTTTTTCAGTATTTTGGATGTACAGTTGATGAAGTAAGAGAATGTGAATGGTATATCCTTTGTGCAATGACTGACGAACACTACAAGTTGGATTGGACGGTAGGTAGCCTTCAACTCCATTGGTATCTGAGTTTGGAACTGCTGGTGTATTTTGACTCCCCCCACTAAGAGGATAACTAACCCTGAAATTCTAGCACTTGAATTTTAGGCCAGCGTTAACATGTTCCTGGATGAAAAGCCATGCAATACTACTTGACTTGGAAGAAGCCAAATAGGAAGGGATGGAGACTAATTTGCAGCTCTAATTACTCAAGCAAACTCTGGGTTGATAAACGACTTCACACTCCAGACCAAGATCTGTGCTGAGACTTTGAAGTCAGGTATCAAATACACTGTAATTCAGTAAGATTTCAGCAGGGGTGAAGAAACTGCCTTGCACCAGTAGACCAGTACATACCACTGAGCTAGCCTTGCGCCATTTGCTGGCACAGATAATGGATGTCAGTATCTCATGTCACTGTTAAGCAGAAGAGAGGACTATAGTGACTCCTGTCACTATTAAGCAGAAGAGAGGACTAGATCAAATGCACATATTCTCACTAAAGCCCAAATTTTAACATTTCAGCATTTTACAAAGCAATGCTGCAGTCTTCATTGAAAAAAGGTGAATTTTAATTGATGGATTTTATCAAACACTTGATTGACTTTTGAATTTTGAAAGTCAGTTTAGATGACAATATTGGGGGTTTTACCATGGCTGCATCAAACTGTTGTGCACCTTTCCTTAAGTTAAGTAATTCATCACTTGGGTAAGTTCAGCTTAAGTTTTATAAGGATCCTTTTCTCTGCTGTTCTCCCCCTGAAATACAGCAAACGACTTCCTGAAAAGACAGTCTGTCTGTTTACTAGAAAGCCTTTGTGCATCACCAGTTTATTGATATCAGGAAATCATGGGACTCTGTGTTTAGAGGTTTACTGCAGAAGTGTGGAAATACGGATTTGATAAACTAGTGCCTATGATTTACTTAACTTATGTTTGATATAGTAGTAAGGGTTTTATGAATGTGGATTACTTTTTGTGCCAACAGCTCGGAATTGTTGTATGTGTGTAGGCAGAAGGACTTGTTCTGCTTCCAAAGTTATTTAATTTTTTTTGTGTTTGAATGTTTTTGTAAGTGTTAAAAAGTGTAAAAAAAAATATATAAAATATTCTTACCACAACATACTTCCTGGATCATTATTTTTATAACAAATTGTTTTTAAAAGCCTTTAGAAATTCAGAGGGTATTGCTTTAGGGCTTTTTTGCTTGGGTGGGTTGTTTTTCAAGAGCCATATTCACTTTTCCAGAAGTTACCAACATCAGCTTCTGCCCCCTGTAATTCATGAACTGAGTACAACGCTGTATTTGGGTGAAATCTGTGATTTCATTGACAGACTGAGGTAGACTTGTGTTGTGCCTCTGCTCTGGGAGGATGATGCATAATTCAGAGTTATGTGGAAAACTGTATTCTGAATTTTCATCCAGAGTGATTTGTTTGTGCAATTCTAAGTACACAAGCTGCCTTTCTGTTTTTACAGGATTTGTGCTCACTTCAAACCACCACATGAAACAAACTGTTCATTTTGAAAATTCTGGAGTTTATGCAGCAAATTGAGCAATGTAAAAGTGTACCTAGTAAGCCTTCTTTGAATTGTTAAGTACACGTTTTATGTAGCTCATATATGAATCCCTCTATCTTTTGGCTCACATACAAGCAAGAAGTTCATTCTGAACTTGGTAACTTTCTGCAGTCTGCATTTTGCTACAAAGCAACGTATCCAATAGTAATATGAATGCCATCTTTTTCTTATCTTGGTATTAATAAAGTTAAGCTAGGTTTACTTCTATTTGATGGCCATTTAATATTAAATCTGTTTAACCAAATTTAACCCATGAGGCTCGCTATTAATTGTCTATCCCAGCGTAGTCCCCTATCGTGTAATTAAGCCAGTAGATTAAGAAGTTTCCCCCCAGCTAGCTCACCTACTTACGTAGAGCTCGCTTTGCACCTACTGCTTCTAAAACGTGATCCATTCCCCCTTCCCTCATCGCTTTTTAGATCAGCAGTCAAGCACCATTTGCCCCACACCCTTTTAGGAAAATAGAGCAGTGTCAAAATCACAGGCAATTAATAGCCTTTCCCGCTTCTCTTTTAGTAGGTTTCTGTAACAAACTCTTCTGTATTAAACTATTGTTGTATTTAGCATCATCATCATATTGCAAGACTCAAGATAGAAAATATTATTTCTACATTTCTCTTATTTTGAGTGAAGGTATGACAGCTCCTTTGGTTTTTGGTGTAGAATGCTAGGTCATGTTTTATTCAATAGTGTGTTACCCTCAAGGAGTCTGGTTGCAATGGTGAAGAAAAATAAGCGATGAACACGTAAGGAGGCAGAAGGTTGGAGCTGCTGAAGTCTTGGGGTGGCTGCAGAGCATGCAGTTTTGATCGCTTAAAACTAATCTTTTAATACAAATATTTCTGAGAAAGAAAAACAGAAACAAATATGATGGCGATATGTCTTCAGTTCTCCCTCTTTTGATCTGTAAAAACAGGAGTAAACTTGAGATTTAATTTTTACTTTTTAAGTGAAATGGGTGTGATGTGAGGTTGCTTTGATTAAAAAACCAAAAAAACGCCACCTGCTCTTGACGTGTGTATGGGCTATTCTGTAGTACGAGGCCGACACCTACAGGCAGTCTATCTGTAGTTGTCTTGTTTCAGGAAGATGAGGCTGGGACTCGGGCGCTCTCTGGGGTACCCATGTTTTACACACAGCTTCACAGTAACGAAGATGCGCTTTGCTCGAAGAGTTGAAGAACTGAAAAGAGCAGATTCCATCAGACTCACTTTCCACAGGATTGTTTTATAATGGTATTTTCAGCCCTGGTATCTCACACAGTTGTACTGAGCATCACTGTCCTCTTTACACTAAATGATAAACTCTGTTGCAACTACATTAAGCACTTACAGGACACAAAACATAACTGTAGTGATTAATTTGCAGATCATCAGCAGGATTTAAAGGAACAGGTAGCTAAAATGATTCCTTACCACCCAAGTGATTTTTCAGCTTGGTGCATCATCCACACCTGTTACAAACAGTGAATTACAGAGAAAAAAAAAAGAAAGAATTAGCTTTGAAAGATGGAAAGATTGAGATTATGTAGTGTGGCACTCACAAAGCTGGACTGTATCTTTCAGAAGACTAAGACTAAACAAAAGATACTTCTGCTGTTGTAAGCTGAGCTGTCATCAACATAAACATAGGTAATCATATGTAACTCCATTTGCTTTTGGAAAATGATTTTAGTATCTTACAAAGATAAAGCCTAAAAGAGAAAGGCTTGCGATGCCTTCTCTCCCAGTGTGTTCAGCCTTCCTTGCTGCTTTTGAATTACCCCTGAAAGCTTACTTCTGTTGTCAGCTACAGCAAATGACATTCAAAAAATAAGCATTTTAGGAATGCATAGTACATGCCTTACTGAGAAGGTGACTGTGCGGTCCATCCCCAGTGTTACTCAACTTTTGGTCATCCTGCACAACATGCAGAATACAAACTATGAATTCTTCTATTCTGTTCTTTTCCATTCTCTTTGCCATGATTTTCTTGAGACTGTAGCCAAAATTGCAACTTTTCACAGCCCTGCTGTGAGAGGCTGTTTAAAAACCTTGCTAGTGCAAAGAACTTGGTCCGATGTCAGACAAGGTTACTCCCCCCACCCAGCTCATGGTCTCAAGAAGCCTGACACCAGCTACCTCCATGTCCCTCCAGCAACAAGGCTGTGACAAGAGCCAGGTGAACACCTCCCACCCTGGCCAGCCTAACTTCAAACTCAATTTGGGAGATACTTAGTGTAATCCATTTCTTACAACCAGGTCTATTGATAAAACTGAAATTAATGGAATCAATTCTCATGCGAATGATAGCTCGTTTCTGAAAACACCAGCATTTCTTGGTCTGACATAGCTATTTTCTTGCTAAAAATATTCGGTGAAATTAGCCAAATAGTACACTTTTCTGTTGGTTTCTATGTGAGTTTGCTTTTTCGTGTTCAAGGAAGAAGCATTCACAGAGCAATTCAACTAGTTTCTTGCTGTAAGGAGGACAGCTAATG